CCGCGTCGTCAGGGAAACGTGGAGCGGTTCGGGTGGAAGGGACTTCAGAGTTCATCCAGTTCCAACCCTGACACCTTCCACTATCCCAGGTTGCTCCCAGCCCCGTCCAGCCTGGCCTTGGACACTTCCAGGGATAGGGCAGCCACATCTTCTCTGGGAATTCCATCCCAGACCCTCACAGCCAAGAATTCCTTCCCAATATCCCATCTAACTGCCCTCGGGCAGTTTCAAGCCATCCCCCTTGTCCCAGGTCCCTCTCCCGCTCTCCTGGAGCCCCGTTTAGGCACTGGAAGGGGCTCTCAGGTCTCCCTGGAGCCCTCTCCAGGAGAACACCCCCAGCTCTCCCAGCCTGTCTCCAGAGCAGAGGGGCTCCAGCCTTCGGAGCATCTCTGTGGCCTGAGAACCCAACAGACCCCTGCTGCCTCCTCACCCTTAAAGGTGTGAGGTTCAGCTTTTGGGGTTTTTTTGTGTGTAACTATCTTCCAAAGTCCAAAGCTGGACTTTGATCATCCTTATGGGTCCCTTCCAACTCAAGATGTTCTATGATTCTTTGTTTTGTAAGGGCACTGAAAGGGCGTTTCACTGACACCTTTCAGGATAGGATCAGAAAGAACATCAACCACCTTCTTTGACACTGTAACCCTATTAATCAGTTTATTCAGCAGTCTCGTAACCTGCAACCACTCAATGGTGTTGCAATTCCCAGGGGAGAGGCTGCACAAGCCTTGCCTGGGAAGCAGCAGCCTAAAACAGAGGAGTTTACCTCTAGCATTCCCAGTTGATTTGCAATACATCTTTAGATCCAGTTCCCATTAAAACAAACTTCTGAGCAAAGCTCCTAGTACCATCCTCTACAAGCAGCACCAAACAGCTGACTGTTAATCAATTCCAGGTAGCTGGAATTTCCCTGCACACCTCAGTTTTTAACCAAGAAACTACCAGAAAAGACACACTGAATTTAAGATGAACATCACCAGTTTTCCATTTCTAGCTTTTATTTTTTTGCTCAAGCAAACAATTTGTCAAAAGAAACCCAAATCCACAGAGAGAGAACAGCAGCAGCTCCTGCCTCACATACAGAGACATAGCTCAATAAAGAAGGTTTCATCTCTATTTCCAAACCTTTCTGCTTGCAGGTTTCCTTGGAGATCCCAAGTTTTATGCAATCTCTGTCACACACACAGTATTTTTAGGGTTTTTTTTTTACTGTTACAGTGAGATCTGGATCTGGCAGTTTGCCACAAAGCTGAAACTTGTGAACAAGATGAGCTCCACCAAGCACTGCTGATGCAGGTTTTGTCCCCTTGAAAGGAGGGAGCTGTTCCTGTCAGATCTGACAGAGGGAACAGCCCCTCACATTTAACCACACCCAGCACACAGGTATTCAGGTCCAAACAGAGGCAGGATTATTTAATTCCTAATTAATCAAGCTTTTTAGGCAGAGGGATATACTCTGTTCTACTGACTCCACTGGGGTCAAGGGATAGGGTCACTTCAGACCACAGCAAACACCTGTTCAACACTCTACACTTTCCATCCACTGTGGTCTGAACAGAGTGACCAAAATACCTCAGAACTGGTCAGACTCTTTTACACTGTTCATTGGGAAAAAAAAAAAGGCATGTACAACCACTTTACTTTCTGCATCCACTCAGTGCTGCAGAGAGTCCTGTGACCTCCACTGAGCACTTAACTCTGCCAGCTCATTGTCACTAAGAACCAAACTCAACAGCTCAAAGAAACCAAGAAGACCTCCTCAAGGCAATTAGGAGCATGGTTGAGACATCACCTACCACTCTCCAGGAAAGGAGGAATGCAAAGCCAGGTCACTCTGTGACTGGGGAAGGATCCCCTTCCCCTGGCAGCACCTCAGGCTGGCACTGAGGACACCACCATGTAAGTCTCTTAAAGGCACCCAGTGGTCCAAAAGTTCCCTTCATCACTGGATGGCCAAGGGGACACTGCTCCTTCTGGTAGATCTGGGGGTGCAGCCCTTGGCCACGGAGCTTGTGGTGCAGCCAGTCAGAGCTGAACTGAAGGGCACAGTCCAGCAGATGCTCCAGATCCGAGGGAGCCAAGAGAGAGCCTTGTGTTAGTGGGTGGATCTTGGTCAGGTACAAAATCTCATTCTTAATGATGTTCCCTGGAAAGGGACAGAAACAAGGAGACAATAAGGGTCTTTCTAATCAAGATAATGCAGACTTCTGGCTCCAGTCTGTGACTTCACCCTCAAGGATCACAGCCAACAATATCATTCCCTGTTTCAGAGATGGCATGCAAGGAGTAGACTTAGACCTGGGATTGGACTGGACAGAGTTCTCTTCCCTCTACCCTTGAAGCAGAACTTGAAGATGACCATGTACCCTCAGCTGGATGAACCAGAAGCCACAAGGCAAAGGAGTAAAACTCTCAGAGATGCAGCTCTGGATCTGCAGACATCCCACCCACCTTCCTCCATTTCTTGCTCTGCCAAGTATTCCCTGGAACTCACCCAGCCCTGAAAAGTATCTTTGGTCTAAGAGGGTGTAGCAGATGGGATTGGGTGCACGGAGGGCATCTAGTGCCCGGCCACGGTGGAACTCCATGGACAGGATGTCAGAAGCAGGATCAGCCCTTGGAGAGGAGCACCAGTGCATTCTGCAGTTGTAGAAAACAAGGAAGCCTCCACTCTCAAAGTGAAGAATCAGCCTGGGAGAAGCAGAAAAGCAGAAGTGTCTCATCAGAAACATCCTTGAACCATTTGTCCTATTTTACACCAGGCCACTGTCTCAAGGTAAGGTAGCCTCTTTAACGACTTCAGCCACAAAACCTGGTGGTGAACAACTCTCCACAGGTTGTGTGGATTCATTCTCCTGCCCTGTGGTCCCTGGACAACCAAGGCTCCAGCAGTAGGGTCCACAGATCAGGGAAACCAATGCCAAAAGTAGCACAAAAAACTGTGTCTAAAAATGTTTGCACAGAAATGAAGTAATCCTTTAAAAGACTGCAGGATGTGGTGCATGGAGTGTGTCCCTAAGAAGTACAGTGATTCCAGCTTCCCTAGACGTTTGCCATTCATCCAAGGCTTTTTTTAAACACTTAATTGGGAGAAACTGGCATTTTCAGAGCATGATTCAGCCTGGCATCCTAAAACTTCTCTAAGATAAAAATGTTAACAGAGCTAGTACTATGATCCCCAAGGTGGCAGGCAACATGCATCCCACAATTCCACTGCAGATCCAACACACCCCACACCCACTCACACCATCTCTCGTGCCTACTTATCTTAGGAATTATCAGAGAAAAATCAAGGCTAAGAGCACCCCCCCACAAATTTAGTTTGGATAGAAGAGTGCCTCTCCAGAATGAGAGGCAAGGAGAGAGAGGGCTCCATGAAATACCTGGGTACAGGGTCCTTCCAGTCCCCCCTTTTATTGGCTCTGTTTGCTCTGGAGAACTCGTTTGCCCGGACGCTGCCGAACAAGCCGAAGTGGAAGCGCAGCCAGTGGCCTGGACCTTGTGCTGCATCTGGGGCTTCAGGCCTTGAGTGCTGGAGTTCCTGCAGCTCCTCATCCTGGGGATGGGGAGCACAAACCTGTTCTTGCCCTTCCTGGACAGAAGAACCTGCCACAGCAGCAGCCTTTTTCTGCAGCACTGTCTCTTCTGCAGTTGGTCCTGAGGGACCTTCAGCTGCCACAAATGCCAGGTACAAGTTCTTCCCATGAACCTGAGGAAAGAGGTGGGTTGTACTAAGGATCCATACAGGATCATAGAATCACAGGCTGCTTTGGGTTGGAAGGGACTTTAAAGATAATCTCATTCCAACCCCTTGCCATGGGCAGGGACATCTTCCACTAGACCAGGTTGTTCAGGCCTCATCCAACCTCACTTGGAACATTTTCAGGGATATACTGGGGATATGGAGAGGAACACTTCCTCTGGCTGTTTCCATACAAGTGACTATCTTCTACAGCCTCTTTTAGATAGAGGGCACATCACCCCACCCTGAACACAGGATTCATCAGCATTTGAGTCATTCCCATCAGAGTTGCAGGCATCCTCTCAGCATTCCTTAAGAAGCACAAGGTATTTAGATGCCACTCAAATGTAAATCTCTCCCTGAGGGTCCTGTCAAGCCAAAGAGACACACCAGGAGAGACACTCAGGGTTACAAAATCTGTCATCATTTTTTCTGATTCACCTCACCACATTTTGCTGCAGGCACTTTGTGGTTCTCATTTTGCTTCCCACTTTTAATCCGAGCTGGGGCTGCACCAGCATTTGGCCAGTCAGGTCCAAATCATCATCTGAGGGATGTGAGGCAAGTGAAGCCTCTAGCAGGACCAACCCAGTGTGACCATCTCATACATGTATCAACAGCACAGACATCTCAGCTTAGCCAGGGGAAACCCTGAGGGAAACGCTCCCAGGTTCTGCACCTTCTGTGACCCAGATGCAGGACAAGGGTGGTTTCCCTGAGACTTGTCATGGATCAGTAAACTCACCTGGGAGTCCTGGAGCCTCAGGGCATTCAGGTCATTCACGCTGATCTTGTGGCTGCTTCCCCCCACCTTGGCCACCACTTGTCCCACAAAAGGGGAGGTCAGCAGCTGGAACTTCCTCACTGATGGGCCCTCTGGCATGTCCAGCAGTTGTTGAGGGATTAGCAGGTCCTTCTCACACTCTTCCCTAAACTTGAAGGGAAGTTGCCACTCAGAAATACACAAAACCAGTCAGAAGCAGAGCTCACCACTGTCTCCTCACCCCAGTCTTCTTCCTTAAGTTTCTTTGAGGACCTGGAAGCTGAAGGAGTCTTCATCCCTGGGAATATATGTAATTTAATCAAATAGCCCTGAATAATAACCTGCTCTAATGGCAGTTTTTCACCCCACAAGCAGAAATTTAGCCTGAGGATCTCCAGAAGTCCTTTCTCCTGGTCTAGTGAAGGTGTTCCTGCCCCAGCACAGGGTGGGATCTAGACGATCTTTAAGGTCCCTTCAACCCAAATCATTCTGTGATGTTATGATTAATGACCCAGAACCAGCACAGGCCAGTGACCCATCTTTTTCCTGATACAGTCACCATGGAAAGTGCTGCTCTGGAGTCAGCACATCTCCACCCCTTGCTTTTCACACTGATCGCAATGAGATGTAACCAGCTAGGGAGCATTCCCACACTCTACTAACAGCATCTGGGATCAGAAGGGGGATGATTCATCTCCCCCTGGATGAGGGGGAGATGAAGCAGCACCATCCTACAGCATCCTGTGGTTCCCTCCAGGAAGTCACACCAGTGTATAAGGAGTTATTTCTCGCATGAAATCCCAGTCACTTGCAGCTCTTCTGAGGATTTCTGCCAGGACTGGGTGTACAGGAAAGCAGGCTCCAGGACCAGGAAAGCTCAGTCTGGCTTTCATCCCATGGTGCCAGTTCTCCCAGAGACCAGCACTGACCAGAGGCTCAGTTTCAAGCTCCACAGTACTCAGTAGAAGGCTCTGAGGCACAGTTCTGAGACAGCTTGATGTGAAAATCAACAGCAATCCTGTGCATGGTCCCCCACCAGAAAAGCCATTCCCACCTCATTCCAGCATCTCAGCTTCTTCTGCTGCCTGGGCTGGCTCAGAGACAGCAGCCCATGTTTGCATCAGCTCAGACTGACTAAAACCAAAGCTTCCAGTGCCATGTGCTCCTGCCATAGTGAAGGGACAACTTTTAGCATAGCTGTGAGGAGCAGCAAGGTGTGGGATACCTTCAACAGGAAGCAGGCAAGGCCTGGAAAAGCCTTCCTGTGCTGCAGCACAAACCAAATCCCTCTCAGAAGGGCTCAAAAGGAAAACATGTTAGGGAACATTAATTTAATGTCTTAAATCCAGGTACAGATATTAAGTGGTCACACAAACCAGCTTTACCAGGGTAAAAGACTGAACTTTAGTCCTCTGTCTCCAAGGACATGGGATAATTATTCACAGGCCTGCTCCGGTTTCACCCCAAAAAATCTGCATATTGTGATGATCAAGAGGCAGATTAAGAGACACCTAAAGAGATACTTGTGCTGCCAAAGGCACCACAAGGAGTCTCGATCCCTGGAGCAGCATTTGGCTGCTGGACACAGGTCATCCAAGGGGTCTGCCTTGATTATCCAGACACCGGCTTCATGTCAGGCAGCTGCTGATTCAGTTCTTAACAGGCTCATTGTGAGAGACTGGAAGTGCTGGGCACTCTATAATGTGTTAATGCCCACAATTCCCCAGTTGTAGCCCCTCTGACAGCAGAAAAATGCTCCTTTTCAAGAGGAAAAACTGCCCTCTTCCCCAGAACATCAGAATAACCAGCATCTGCTGTCTCTGATCCCCTTCTCTCCATGGACCTCCCTACTTCACCTTCTTCCTATAGACCTACTTCAGTCTCTTCCAAAATGCTCCACACTCCAAGGAGGAAGAGGAGGGTGACCAACCCCAACCCTTTGCGGGGCATGACACCCATCTCTCCAGGAGCATGACCACCTGAGCTGGTACCTCTACAGGTCTGAGGCATGGAGCCAGGCTTCCAGGAGAAATCCTCCCCCCTGTATGGGCTCATTTCCAGTCCTTGCGCTCAGACAGAAGCCAGGAACCCACAGCAGAACAGAGCAAGGTCAAGGCTGCCCAGGTTCATCTGCCCCAAACCAGCTCTGCCAACTCACCTGCACCCAGGGATGACAGAAAATCCCATTGGGACCTTACACCCCTGTACAAGGCTCCTGCAGGGATTTCAAGGCACAGCCCTGACGCTCCACATGCAATCCAAGGGGTGCAGAGCTTCCCATCTTCTCACACTCAGCCAAGCACCAATTTGCAGCTCTCCAAAACAACCAAGCCCTGAATTCCACCCCCAGTCTCACCCACATCTCCCCAGGGCAGTGGAAGCACCCACTGCACTCTCCAAAAACCCCACATTCCTACATCCAGCTTTTAAGACGCAGCTCTCCCCAGGCCAACCCTGTGCATCCATTCGGGGAGGAGGGTGGGCAGCCTTCCCCCCTTACTGCTCCTCCAGGCTCCACAGTCCTTCCTTTGTCTCCAGTTTCTCTTCCTCTGCCCCCAACCACCTCCCACAGCACTTTCACAGTCTCTCCCGACCCACCCCAGCAGACCCCTCTGCAACCAAAGCCCTTCCATCGACCTACTTTTATGGGGGAGGAGGGCCCTCCCCCCAAATCTCAGGAGGGCTCCTCAGTTGGCTGGTGGAGGAGGAGTGGGCGGGTTTCAGGTGTGACCTCACTCACCCCACCGGTGAGTGTCTGGTTGGATTGGGAAGGAAGCTGGGCACCCTGGGAAGGAGGGTGGGTGCTTCTGCGGGGGCTGTGCTCCTGCCGAGGGTGGGGGTGGCTGAGCACAGCTCTTATAAACGTGATTTTGGCTTGAGGGTGTTGCCTCTGAGTTCAGGTGAAAGGATTTAGGCCGAAGAACAGCTGACTAATTGAAAAAACGTTAGTGAGAAGACCAAAACAATAAATCACAGTGTTATTAGAGTGCCCTGAGGGGCTTTTCCACTCTGTACTTTTAGGGATGTTCCCAGCTCCACGGAAAACACACTGGATGCTTTTCCTCACTTGCATTAAAATCACAGAGCCACAGAATAATTTGGGTTGGAAGTGACCTGAAAGGTCATCTCCTTCCAACCCCCTGCCATGAGCAAGGACACCTTCCAATATCCCAGGTTGCTCCAAGCCCTGTCCAACCTGGCCTTGGACACTTCCAAGATGGGGCAGTTGCAGCCCAGGGCATTTCTGGTCTATCCTGGCTTTGAGTTGCTCCATTGCTGAGTCTGTCACTTCTGGAGTTTGTCATCCTGCATTGGCCATCCAAACTTCTACAGAAGAGGCTTTGTGTGGCTCCAGGGCTTGGGGACAACATTCAGTCTCCTGCAATGACTCATTGTTTGTCTGAGCAATTCATTTACTAAAGATTTTAGCTCTCATCATAATCTAACATTTATGTGGCTACACATTTAAAGGGGAAACAGATATTAGGAATAAATTGTTTACTGTGAGGATGGTGAGACACTGGAGTAGGTTGCCCAGAGAAGCTGTGGCTGCCCCATCCCTGGAAGTGTTCAAGGCCAGGTTGGATGGGGATTGGAGCAACCTGGGCTAATGGAAGGTGTTCCTGCCCATGGCAGGGAGTTGGAACAGGACAGTCTTTAAGGTTCCTTGCAATCCCTTAACATTCTATTTTTCTATGATTCTGTGACTTGGACAAACATTTCCTCCATGAGGGTGATCAGACACTGGAACAGGAACTGGGGAGGTGGTAGGATTTCCATCTTTGGGAATATACAAAACTTGACTGAACAGGGCTTTGAAAAACCTGATCTTTTTCCCTTCTGACTTAAAATCACTCTGTAATTCTATCCTTATGAGCTCCCTGGGACATGACCCACTACACCATTTCTTCTCCAGGTGCACTTAATATCATTTACCCCCATCCCTCTCCAAGAAGCCCACGAGGGCAAACAGAGTCAAGCAGAAACCTTCTGATTTTATTATTATTGTTTTATTTCCATTAGTTCTAAAGGTGTAGAAGTTACGTGGATTGGTAGCCATACTACTTCATAATAGATATTTTTTTACATCTTTAAATAATTACAGCTTGTTCAGTTGGTTGGTTTCCCTCTCCCCCTTACAAAGAAATGTGTGTTTCCATGAGACTTTCCCAGATGACATGGGAAGCTTCAAACTTTATACATGGGGAGAAAAAAAAGGCAAAACAAAACATAGTCACAGCTTCAATGTTGCATTGAGTTGGTGATTGGTTTTAAAGCTCCCTTGCAATATTCCTGAGCTCCTCCTGATTGCAACCCTCTCCATCTAAGCCCATAAGATTGCAAGTGATCCAAGGATCTCTTCTGATCAGTTTACAAAGAATAGCTGAAGTGAATCAAGATATTGCACTTCCACAAAGAGCAAAGACATTTGGAAATGGTTAAGTGACCTTTTTATGGCCCTGTCTCCCCATCCTGCTTTTCAGCTGCTCATCTCACTTTGGTGGCCGCTGAGCCGTTGCCAAGGTCTGGTTTGACACAACCAAACCTTGTGTTGCAAAACCTTTCAGCATCAACATTTTCATAATTAGTGATGGTCTCTATAGGAACAAGTCCCACAAATGCATTTATATTTGTGCTGAAGTGTGTTGCAGGAGTGGGCTCTTCCCTCTCACTCCTCAGGGCAGGGATAGTTCTCAGTCCTGCATTTGTGGAGGACCTGGCCTGGAACGGTCCTCACAAGGTTCTCCAGCAATAATAGCAATAATAATAGCACTAATTACCTTGTCTGGGTCTCTAATAATTGTATCTAGTTTAATTACCAAAGCAGGCTTGAAATGCTACCCCCATCATGGGCAGGAAAGCAGAGCTCAGATGGAACCTGGAATTTTGTGAGTCACCCCTCCTGCTAGAAGGAGCTGAGTGTCCTGAAAGTTGGTGGCACTTTTATCCTCTTGTCTTCTGAATATCCTTTCATCTGTCACTTCCAGAGTTTGTCCTCCTGCATTGGCCTTCCCAGCTCCCACCTTTGAGAAGGGGCTTTGTGTGATTCCTGGGCTTTGAGACAACATTCAACCTCCCACAGTGACTTGTTCCTTGGGACTCCCCAAGTCTGAGCAATTAATTTACCAATGATTCTGCCTCTTATTATAATCTAACATTTATGTGGAAAAACATTTGTACCATGAGGGTAGTCAAACACTGGAACAGGAAATCAGAGAGGTGGCAGGGTTTCCATCCTTGGGAATATTCAAAAGTTCCCTGAGCAGGGCCCTGAGAAATCTGATCTCATCCCTTCTGATTTAAATTACTCTGTAGTTTGATCATTATGAGCTCTGAAGGAGAGGAGCTGTCATTTATGGTGAGTTTGTACACCACCTAAAATGATGGCGCTGCATTTGAAGTCAGTCTCTAAGCACCTTGATATCAGTGTTGGCCAGAATAAATGTTCCTGGATCAAAAATAGCTTTGCAACAGTTTTGGGTGATTGAAAAGAATTGCAGAACCAGGTGCAGCCAAACTTCTACTGCTTCTGGTGCAAATAGGGGGACAAAAGAGCTGAATTCAACCTCTAAGTAGTTGTCCTCTAAGCCTAAAGTTGTTCTCACAGCCCCCAGAGCTTCACCTTTTGAAAGCAGACATCTTGTTCTGCCATTAGGGTCTTGTAAATACTTCTCACTCTGTTTCAAGAATTATTTTTAAGGCTTTGAGAAAGGCTAAAAACCATTTAATAAATCTGTGCTGTGGTCATTTAGATAACCTGAGGGAGCATAACCACACTTATGTTCTGCGGGGATTTTCCCCTTTGGCATTGCAAGCAGAGTCCTTTACGACATCTTGGAGTGTTTAAGGACAGGAGAAAAATTCTGTCAGGGATTTTTGACTTTGAGGGGAGGAGGAGGAGCACAGCAATAAGGCAGGGTGGGCAGAACCAATGGGAGCATCAGTATGGAAAGAGAAATGGGGGGGGGGGGGGCTTGATCTGGACTTCAGCTCCTCTCCAGGAGGCCGCCTGCTCCCCTTCTTCTCAGGTTATCCAGGGTAGTTCTGGGTATCTCCAATACGTGCATGTTGTGGTGCTCTGTTATGGCCAGGAATTCACAGGCAGATCCCAAGAGAGCTCAAGTGTCATTTACAAAGGAATTTAGTTCAAGGAGGAGGCTGGTTAAAAATCTTCATGCCAACCTTTGTGTTTTCACCCCAAATTCATATTTTTAGGTGCTATTTCTCCTCCTCTCTGCAGCCTGCCAGGCCTGAGCAGAATCACAGAATCTCATTTATTTTTATTCATGTTTCACAGATGTCTTTTCCTCATCTGTAATTAGCACTAATGAGACTAAACACTGCATTAGCCCAGCAAGGCAGGGTGGAAACTCTGGTGCAAACATCATCCAGCCGTTCCCATGGCACCATTGCCATGGTGTTTTTCTCTTGGGGTTGCAGAGGCTCTGTCACCCCTCCAAATCCCTGCCAATCTGAGTTACGGAGAGCAGAGGCAATGTGGAAGGGTCCAGGTCTCTGCTGTGACAGTCCTAGTCTTTCTCATGACCAGTCCAATTGAATCCTTCTCCTTAGAGAAGCTAAGGAGGAAAATGGTGAGTTCAGACAAAGGCAACACAATGCCCTTCTTTTGCTTCAAACCTGCACATGGCTTTCCTCTTCACCAAGCCTGGTGTTTGGGTGGAAACACTCCCTGTGGGAATGTTGAACAGCAGGAGACAGAGGATGGCACATTTGGGAGGGATGCACAATCCCTCTTAGAAATTTTAACTTGGTAGTTCCATACTCAGGTTCTGGATGCAGGGAGGAAAAGAGAGGAGCTGGGAAGACAGGAAGGGGAACAGAGTTTGGGAATGGACAGAAACAAGGGTGAAGAATCTTGTAGGATAAGGTCTCCCAAAAATTCTCTGCCTAGACAGGCAAAGCTGTCTCTCCTTGGAAATATTGATGAAAACACCATGGCAAGCATCTGGTGAAGCACTTGGACTGCACAGGGGAGCTGTGGCATCTGCAATGCTGGAGTTTGTTAAGCACATGCTAAAGACAGAGTAGGCAGGGCTGGGTTAGGCAGAATTGATCCCTTTGGGAAAAGGGAATTAGTCAATGAGCTCTCAGCACCTCTTCCAACTCCATTTGCTACAATTCCCTGGTTCTTGAGAGCCACATGGCCAAGAAAATAGACAAGTCTTGTTTAGTACTCATGCAGGAATGGAGTTACGCTTCTCTTGCAGGCAAGCAAGTCTGTGCACATGTTTGGTAAAGAAAACGGCCCCTGCCACCTCCATTAGAGGCTGGAGCCTTTGCTTGTTGCCAGAGGTGAAATCCTAAAGGATTAGATGTGGGAAATGGTCACGAGCCAGCTGTTAGGGGGGAAAGTGGGCACTCACAGTACAGCCAAAAAGAAGTGACAGTCAGATTTCATCAATGACATCCAAACAACATAAAAGTAGGCAAAATAATTAAATTATCTGTCTCAAAAGCAATGGCACAGCAGCATTAGAAGAGCATCTTTCACTTGCTGTGCACTTGAATCATCTCTAAGCCTGGCTTGTTACTATCCATAAGGGAAGAGCCCAGCCATTTCCTCCAGGATTTGATTACCAACGTGGATCTCCTCTACCTGCTTCCAGCAGGTTCCTTCCTCCAAAATCCTGCTTTGACTTTGGACAGACCTTCTCCAGGCTGAGCCAACAACCTCTTGGAAACACAGTCCCATGATTTCATAATGATAAATA